ACATGAAAGTCATGAACAAACTGTCCGCATTAATGCATTAATTGTAATTACTTAATTATTTGCATAAATCAAAGTTTCGTTGTAAAGTCGCCCGAACATTAATTTTAATGAAAAAGGACATTTTCCCCATTTATTGAGAAGCCACTCAAAAAGTTTTCCATGATGCCCGATTTGCAGCTCGCTGCATAAAGGAATAAATTAATAGATTGATGAAAATCACTCGAGCTACTTAATGACAATTTTATGTAGCTCGTCAAGTTGTCGTTTTGCGTTTTATTATTGGCTCAATTTAATGGCAAAGGACTATAGAGATCTTAATGATTAGCTGTGGATGGTAATTAAAATCCAAAAGATTTTAATTAATCGAAGGGAACCGTGTCTTTTGTTTAAAATATATTATAAATTCAATGAAATTTATAAACAATGGCACAAAAGTTTTTGGGCATTAATCAGCAAAACAGAGCAAGATAAATTTAATGTTTGGCTATAAATTCAAATTCTAAATGACGAGTATTTAGTTTTATGCACCAGGTGTAAAAATATATATATTTTATAATTATAATTGATATTTAATAATACTAACAAACTCGATTCTTTCATTTCTCGTTTCACTCAAACAATGTTGAAGATAAATGGAATCCACCTGCGCATGCAAACATATAGTACAACAAAAATATGAGAAAATACATAATAATCACAGCTTGAAATAAACGGAAAAGATTGTTTAAATTGAAATTGTCCAGAAGAGAGAGGAGACCATCATCAAGATATACCCATTTTCCATTTTCTCTCTCAGTCTCTCTGTCTGTCTGCCGCAGTTAACATTCATATCTCGCTCTCTCTCTCTTTCTCTTTGTGGTATTGCTATGTAAAGTGTTTCCGTCAAATGGCGTCTGACAAACTTGGTAAATGGACTGCACGCCCCGCCACATAAAGTGGGCGGTTACATTTGGGAAGGCCGCGAAATCTGAACGCAAGAATCAAATTGAAATGACGCACTTAATGGCATTTATGGTTTATGCGCATTTTATTATAATGTGACTTCGATTCTCCATCGGGTTGGCTGTCTGCAAATTTTCCACTTTTGGCCATTTCATTTGGTTAAAGAGAGCGGGACCGAGACGAGGGTTGACCAACTGTCGCCGACTGCAGAGTCACCCTCTCGCACGACTCTTTTTGGCCAATTGGTAATTTTGTTATTAGTCACGCTCTTTGCGCTTCATTAATGTTCATTACACACAAATGAACCCACATCGATTGATATTTCTCGTCGTCTGGCGGTTACAAATGCCCGTCATATACATACATATTCTATCTAAATATATATATATATATATTTTTACGAATTGCGGTTGACATTTTGCGGTGTGCAATAAACGCGTTTAATTTAGCTGGCTGGCAGTTTTTTTCTATTTTTATTTATGGCTTAAAGGGTTGCTCGCCTTTTGCATTTAATTATAAAAATAAACACACACACACACACATACGCATATTACAGTGAATTTATTTATATAACCACGTATATGGATGGATATGGAAAACTTTGAACTTTTGGGTTATGCGTCACATATGCTTGGGTCGAGTTCGAGCCAAGTTCGAGGGGTTGCCCGACGTTCACAAGAAATAAGAAAATAAAATTTATTGACGCTGCTTTCTGCACGCTTAATTGAACATTGGCAACTTGAAAGGCTGATCGACTGATTGACTGAGCCACTGAAACGTAATTTTTTATGACCTTTGAAAGTTTGAAGCCTGTTCTTTTTCTGTTTTCTATTATTTTGTTTTCTGCTGAATTTCCGGTAGCGAGTTATTTAATGGGCATTTCATTATGCGCCTAAACAGCTGGATATGTTGTTTGGCTCCTTGTTGTAGGTTAATTGAAAATGCAGGCGGTTTTTAGTTTTCCTTTTCCTTTGCGTTTTCGTTTTATTTTTCCTCTTTTTTTTTTTTTTTATTTTCATATTGTTTACTTTGCATTATTTTGGGTTAATTTGGTTATCTAATATAAAATTGAACGAGCCCAAGGGGTTGCCAAAAGGGTGGATTACGGCTGGGGGGTTGATTATGCCACTTGAGCGGCTTAGGTTAAAACCATATGGTTGGCTTCAGTGCACTTTGAAGTGGCATGGAAAATGTGATAAGCATATTAATATTCTTTTTATTTAGTTTTTTTGGTTATGGAGAAACTTTGATTGAAAAATTGAAAAAAAAAAAAAACAAAATGCTGTTATACCGAAAATGGGATAAACTCGAGAGAATATTTGCTGAAGAGCCTGAATAATAGAATGCGCAGTAGCAAAAAGCGGATTTGAATTTTATAACTCAAAGCGAAAACTAAAAAGGAAACTGTTTGCTTAATTCTATTATCATATAATCCTGTATATATTTTTCCAGAATTTTATTAGCTGAACTGAAGTTTTCATAGCCTTAACATGAGCTCTAATCTATTCTTGTTATTAATTAAGCTATGATTTTTTCACCGTCTCGATGTACTTTTTATTGTTTCCGATTTCATGAGTATTTTTCTGCCTCTCATTTAATGCCAAAGCACTCAAACCCAAGTTCTTGTCGCCAATTTCCTGATTGATTACATTTCGCTTTTGCTTGCCGTACAAATTATTTGCTTCCCTGCCCACTTGCATTCCTTTATTTCTTCTATTTTATTTAATTTGCACAATTGCCGCCCATTAAGCGTAGGTAAAATCCAAACAATTAATAAATTTTTAAGTGCAACGCAAATTATGCACCTATTGACCGACCTCAAGACCCCTCTACAAAACCAACGCTCGTCAACTGTGGGGCGCACCTGCAACGGCTCTGCACACAATACATTATTAATTTAACTACCCCTAGCTGGCCGACTCTACCCCGACGATACAAACACGCACAACAAATGGGGCTTAATTTGCCAAATGGTTGTGACCCCTTGAACCCTTCGCCCTGTTTGGGTAGCTTAAAGTTTTTTAGTGTTTATACTCTGTGCACGATGTGCAAACGAGTCTATTGGTTGCTTGTTATTTGAATCGATGCTATTGAATCCTGAAATATATCTTCGTATTCATGGAGATAGATGCCAGATAGACCCCAAATAGCAATATATCCTAAAGTCACAGCTTGAAAGTCTCGCGCTTACAGTTCTCAACTCATCTACTCGCATCGCCTGCGTACAGGGTATAAGTGCACCCAACTTTTTTCTTTTGTGGGTGTTGCAGAAAATATTAGACGCGCGAATGAACAAAGATGCAAAATACCTTGACTGGAAAATTTGCATAGATGGGTGAAGCGCAACGCAAAGTAAACGAACGGAAATAAAGTAAAGTGAAATAAAGCACAAATGCAAAGGGAAGCAAAAGTAACAACCGAATTTCCAACTTTGTTCAAACTTAAGCTTAGTGTAAGGCCAGCCAGCAACAAAAATTCATTAAAACTTTGCATTGTGTTTCAAAAATGACGAAATAACAACAACTACAGCAACAACTTCTTATAGAAAGAAAAAGAAAACAACAAGAACAACACCATCACGAACTACCACATTGCGAACTAATTTGTCTGGCGATTTAGTAAAGATTTGGGGCCCCAAAATACTCCCAGCCAATGGCTGTTGATGACGCGACAAAACCCAATTAATACGCCAGACAAATAAAATGGTCAGCCCAATCTGGCAAGCCAAAGACAAGTCGGAAAAACCGTTTAGATACAGCAATAACCCAATGTGTCTACACACAACCAACCAACACACACACACACACACAACAAACACACGCAACGGTGCATAATTTTCTTTTTTCCTTCCCATTTTCGGTTGTTTTGCTTGGCACCACATCTAAGTATATCTTAATATATGTATATGTTATGTGGTTTTAGGAGCGGGCCTTGTCGCGCGTCTATGTCGCCAGGACTTTCTGTCTGTCTCTCTGTCCGTCCGTCTTTCTGCCTGTCTGTCGGCGTGTGTGTGCGTCTGCTGAGTATTTGTGCTTGTGCGTGGTGCTGTTTGTTTGCTTAAGTTAACCAGAAAGTTTTCTTAAAGATTTACGCTTAAGTTTTACGTGATAAAACTTTTATCACTATGACATTTTCTTCTGGATGATGCTGAAAGAAGTCAAGGAGTAGAGCTTTAGTCGGGCCAATTGACAGTGGCTGTCGATATAGAGGATTCCATCGAAATGATACTGTATAAACATTGCTAAGTAGCGAACAGAATGCGCTGTTTGCTTTTGCTCATATATTTTAACTAGCTGCTAAATAAATGCATTTCGATTACTTAATTGTCAGTGATATGAGAAACACTGATCGATAATTTGTTATCGATAAATGAAAGTGTCCATAATTCACATATCGCTGAATTCTACATTGCCAAGAGTATAATCGTTTCCTTGGTATTCAAATAGCCACAGATATGGATAATATATTACAGTGATACATTTAGTAATCGAAGATTGTTTAAAGAAATTGCCTGAATCTCACTCATCGGTCGATTTATACACAAACAAAAGGTATCTCGTATATCGATCAATTCATCCACTCACAAATATTTTCACAATAACATATTCTTTCTAATAACTTCCGCGTTTAACATCAGGCCCCCCTTGAAGTTGCACCCCTGGCTCTGTGGACACACAACTTGTGCTGATATTTGCCTAAAGATATTGGGCCAACTCGTGTACAACTCATGTTAGTCGTCTTTTGTAGTTATTTGCCAGCCCCATCCCAACAATTTATTTATGCCCGCTGGCAAGTTGGGCGTAAGTACGTGCCTCTGTTTACTTCCCCCGGAAATCACTTTAGTATTTTGATGGCGGCGCTTATATCATCAGCCCAAGACTCAAGACATAAGAAACTTTTTATTAACATAAATTATGACGGCGCACACACACACACGCACACACACTCGCTATGAGGGAGAGATAGAGTCAATAGTCAAGCGTGGCACAAGTGAGTGCATAAATTTCACTTGGCACAAACTTTGGCCAATATATCTATTAAACGTCGACGGTGCTTACCGTTATGGCGATGTCATGGCTGGCATCGCATGTGTCCAACTTGCGGCGGAAGCGTAGGACGGTGTGGGTGGCATTCTCGTAGCCCAGCATCAGCATGTAATCCTGGGAGGGATCCACGACGGGCTCAGTGTCGCCATTGCGTGTGACGTGTCGATCCTGCAAGCAGAAAGAAAATTGTGTGTGGTTTGTGGTTATTAATTGGAATGAAAAATTTACGAAAATATTTAATTTGCAGCATACTTTTGTGCGACAGGCTCCGCGGCCAGCACACGCTTCGGGCGCATATTCCATGTCATTTAACAAAATAAACAGAAATTCTGCCAACGTTGTTGCTCGCTTTTTCGGAGTTCGCTTCCAGCCGCAGGCACTTCGAAAATCCCCAACTTGTGTGCATAACTTTTACGCAGCATCTGTGCGTTGCGTTTTTTCTGCCTCATTATACCCTGCATTCGATAAAAGCGTGCCGAACGGGTAGAATAGAGTTTTGCAAACGCAAGCTATGACTTTCTATGTATTGTCACATTTCTAAATACTTATATGATGATTCCAAATTTTTCTAGATTCTTTAAGTAAAATATATATTGAAATATATATATAAATATATATATAAATATATATAGAAATATATATATAAATATATATGATATATATTTCATATGGTGTTTCGAACGTAAAACATTATCAATTGACCTCTTTTACTTCGCATATTTTTTGTAGGTAATTTTCTAGGTTTTTAAAACTTTTCCAAGACGAACTTATAGCTTCTTCTTCAGTTCCCTCTCATTTCCTCTTGAACTCTTTCTTCAAATAAAATGTTACGGTTATTATCTTAAGCTTTCATTCTGTCCCTCTTGCTTTCCTTCTTGAATTCTTTTTAATATTATTGTATTACCATCGTTTTCTTTTCTAACAGGATATCTTATAGTCAAAATTTGTTGACATTTTCGCTTGGTTTTTCTCGATTAATTTTTTCAAAGACGATCTTTTCTTTCTGCCTTTCTTCCTCTTGGTCTCTCCATCTCTCTCTCCCTCTCTTTATATCTCTCTCTCTCTCACTCTCCCTCTCTCTCTTCCTCCCTCTCCCTCTCTCTATCTTTCTCTCTGCATACCATATATCTTAATGTCTTGACAGCTTCACCACGTTCAATTTGAGTAGTTGCCCCACCTTTGTGAACATAAACCCCTTTCTTGAGTGAAAAAAAAGAACAAACATGCTGAAATTTTTTTTTTCTACACTCTTGCCTTGTTCGATTCTCATGCACATGGCCGGGGCTTGACACAGACGCCAGATGAGTTTGAGTTGAATTGTGTGTGTGTGTTTGTGTGTGGGCGATGTAAATTCTTATGCATACATACATAGATACTCTTAAAAATATGTACATATGCATGTGTGTATTCTTACAGGCCACTGTTGAAAATATTTGGTAGTCGTATTTTTTTTCGAGTGAGAGATATGCTTGCTGCAGGGGGGGGGGGGGCTTTGGGGCATGCTCTGTGATTGTTGTTGGGCGGCTGCCTCGCATATTGGCAGTTGACTGCAAATGGGCGTTGTGTTTGGCATGCTCATGGCACATCCTTGCCAGCATGCGGCAGGAGCACTTGTGTTGTTTTTGGTATGGCAACAATTTTTTGATGATGTTGCAAAAGTCGAAAGTGCCCCTGCCACTGGCACAGCTCCTGCCCCAGTGCCTGTTACCCTGGCAGAAGAGCCCTGGTAATTGAAGCTGATGGAATTTTTGAGTAGTTTTCTATGTAGATATTTCAAATTTTTATTGATTTAATTATTTGTTGTCGTTTGTCATTTGTTTGACTGATATCAAAGTTTTTCAGCTCTTAATGCACTTACACCCACATACGTATGTATGCGCAACTCTGGCTCAATATAGAGTTAGTTCAGTTTTTATTATTGCATTTACGATTTCGAGCTTCTTTGGTTGTGCACATTGTGTGTGTATATTTGTGACTTTCAGGGCTCATGTGGCTGTAATTGAATGTGCTGCTGCCAATTTTGCAATATTGGAATACAGGTTGTGGCATTTGAGTGGCTGCACAGATGAAGTTATCATTTAAAAGGCTTAAGTACAGGCTCTGCCCCGAATTGTAAATTATTCATATTTGAAATGCTTCTATTATTAAAACGTTAACATTATGCATCAGTTAAAACTGAGCCAAGCTGGCCTTTAACAAGCCATAACTGAGTTCTCTTGGATGTTAACAGTATTTCGAGGCATTAAATTCAAACGAGTTCTTACTTTGGCCAGCTTAATGATTGCAATTAATATTGAGTCGCATGTTTAAACATTAGATAAACTTATCGCATCTGTTGGGCAGCTTTTGTGCTCACACACACGCACACATATATTTGCCTACATTGGTTAATGTTTTATCATCTTGTTGCTATCTGGCACACAATTCATTAGAAGCATTTATAATCTCCACTCAAGCAACGATGTTCAGTTTCCCAGGCTTCTTCCCCTTCTTCTTCGACTGACCCCGCTCCTCTAATTCACAGACACATTGCCCAACATTATGGAGTGAAACTTTTCTGCTTACAGCTCATAGCGTTTCCATCATCTAATTACGACTGAAATTTTCACACACCTGAGGCAGTTGCAATTAATTTGCCCCAATTTATGTCATCAACCCCCCCACAGATTCGGCATCCCCTACACTCACACGCACACCAACGAGGTAGTCCTGTTGCGTGTTTTGTTGCCCACAATTACATGCCAGCATTTCATTAATCATATCACACGCTGCACCATTTGCCATTTGGCTGCCTAATTAAAAGTTTGCACAAAACATTTAACATAAATTTCAGCAAATTTATATACACATAGATATATGTATATATATTGTATCTATGCAGGAGATAGACCTTTTCGAACTGCCTGTCTGTCTATCTTTCTGACTGTTTTGCAATCTGCAAACGCATAATTCAAGATCTGAAACGCGCAGTTCCGTTCCCGCTCCCATTTGTGTTCCCATTCCCGTTCCCGTTGCCCTTCCCGTTACTGTTTTGCACAGTTTCCCTTTTAATTTTACATTATCTACCTCTACACACACACACACACACACATGCGCACACCTTGACATGTTGCTCGCTTATCGCAACAGCAGCCAAAAGTCGCGCATACGCCGCGTATGCCGAGAGAATTGTGAGCATTGCGCGCGGCGACGGAAATTAAAAATACGCGCTGCAATGTTGCAAGCACCCAAGCGACGTTATCAAAATCAGCGTGTGCGTGGGCGCCAAGGGGCGTGGCAGTGCGAGAGAAGTGGCAGCAGCGTTCCCGCCTGCGGATGATGCGTTGTGGGGTAATTATGCAAAAGGAAGGCGCATAAATTTGCAATATTCTCAGCTGCTGCTGCTGCTGCTGCTGCTGCTACTGCTGCTCACTTGTGCTCTGAAAATGTTTCAAATGCCAACGACGTTTTAACTGCTCACAACTTTTTATGCGTGCAGCTCAAATGCCGCCAATTCGGTCTTTAGAACACTTTCCCAGTGTGGGTAGCCACAACATTGCCGTGTTGTTTGCAACACAATAAAATATTTAGTGGAACATAAAATTGAAATATATTTCCCAAAGATAGTTTTCTATATGCAGCAGCTGTTCCAACCAAAAAGTAATTATAGCCAATTTTCTAAATTAATTTCCAACATAGTTTTCATTTTGTTAAAACTGTTCGAATTACTGAATAAATTGTAAATAGTTGCTCTGCATTTATTAAAACATAAATTATTTATGGTTTAATTAGATTAACTGCGAAACAGTTAAAGTTAGTAAGTGTTAGTGTATTGCAGCTTCGGCCAGATGCTGACCAAATTTTCATTCATTTTAAGTTGCATGCCATGACTGCGTAGTGCGTGCAGAGTAGGAACTTTGTGGGCGGGGTGGTTACTGTTGGGAGACTTCGTCCTGCTCGTGGTCGTTGTTGTCAACGCACACGTTTTTTTAATTGCTGAAATTTTATCACACCTTCATGGCTGGCAGGACTCGTAAATTGTAATCCTTGTGCGCACTCTGCAAGGCTTCTGCTTGAGCAACGCTGACGTCGCCGTCGCCGTTTTCTTTGCCCTCGTTTGCCCTTTCTGTGCTCGATGTTGTCATTAACGTCGCTGCCTCTTAAGCATTTAATAGCCTTGTCAAGACTTTAATGCCTTTTAGCTGCCGCCCTCTAATATGTGAAAGAGCGGCGCACTAAAAAAAGAGTGTAGAATATGGAGTGCGAGTGCGAGTGTAAGTGTGTGTGGGCGGTGGGTGTGTGGGTGGAAATCAATAAAAGCAACGGAAAATTAAGCACCTTTGCGCTGCTTCTCGAACAACCAAGCCACAACGTGAACTTAATAGGATTATGCAACATTGATGTTGCGAGCAAAGCTAAACAAACTTATGTAAAGCCTGTCACTGCACTTAAGAGCAGCAGGGGGTTGTGTACCCGGCCAACCCAAGACTGAGCCTTGAACCCTTTCGGCATCATAACATGCGCCTAATTGTGCTGATTTTCGCTTGATGAAAACTTTTGACACACACTCACATACAAACACACATACAACAAACATGCCGCCCATCAGCAGCAGCAGCAGCAGCAGCAAGTGGCAGTCCCAAGTTTTGTTACGCCAAAAACAAACTTTAGCAATTTATGATAATTCAACGTCAGCTGGGACAGTTCAGTGTTCACTGTACAGTGTTCACTTGAAGTACTCGGTATATATCGAAGTATGCAGGGGTAGCATCAAGGCCCAGGCCCAGTTCCCAGCCCATGACTGAGATGCTGCTAATGTAAGCTGGCAGGCGAGCTGGCAGGCAGGCAGTCAACCATCAACAACAACTGACAGTTGGCTAGCAGCGAAACGCTCAAGCGATAGAGAGAGAGAGTGAGACAGAGGGCGAGCGCGAGAGAGAGAGACAGAGAGAGTGCTAGCACGAGGCAGATTGATAGAGGAGAGAGATTCTTAAAATATGCTCGTAGCACACATTAAACTTATTACCCCCACAACATTACCCCTCAACTCTTTGCCAGGGCCTAGTCAAACCCACACACACACATATATACACACACACCCGCCCAGTCTCTCTACATGTTCAGATTTTGCTTTATAAACAAATGCATACAGCAAAAGGGTTGCTTGCACATAGCACACAAATATCAAA